GAGATTATTGCGAGGCAAATCTGCTTTCTTCTCGTTCTTCATTAAATTAATTTCGAACTTATTAAGAATTAAATTCTTGTGGCGTTCTACGAATTCAAGCAAGGTTCATAAGGTTTGTGATCATGGGTCAAGATATTGTTAGCGATTGTCTTGGTTCTTGGCTTAATAATTTATTGAGTCGAGATTTTCAAACGTTGATTCTTGACTTTCTTGAGTTGTTCTAATTTGTCGTGAGTTCCGTAGATACAATTGCTACGTGGGTTCGTATCAAAAAATTAGTGAAATAAAAAAATTCAATTGAAAAAAAAACCCACAAGAAGAAACCAGTAAAAAATGTGACAACAAAAACACCAATATTCCAAATGCAAAGTGGTAACTTTGTATCATCACAATCAGAGTCTCCAATTTCAATATCTTTGGGATTGTCTTCATTTAGTCTTAATACAAATGAAGGAAATGTAGGTGGTACTTCAACTAGGTGACCCATTGGGGTGAAAAAAGCAAAGTTAAAAGGGAAAAATGATGAAGAAAGTCAAAACAAATTATTGAAACTATCAAAGATGAAAATTGACAAAAGCAAAGTTAAAAAAGGAAAAATGATGAAGAAAGTCAAAAAAATTATTGAAACTATTACAAATGAAAATTGACAACTCGTAGGAATTCTCAAAAAGGGAAACGAGTGTAGACAACAAATTTTTGAAATTCAAGTGCTAAGAGCTCAAAATGAGTCAAAAACAATTGGCATTGACCATTTATCGAGAAGAAAATAAAATTTTACTAAAAGATTTGAATTCTATATCCGATCTAACTCTACAAGATTTTTTTTTGAAATGAACAAATAAGAATTTTACAAAAGAGAGGGCAACAACAAAGTGATGAATTTTAAAATACATATAATTCTTTTGGTGACAATACATAAATCCTATATATAAGAATTACATTTCAAAAATAACAAACTTCAAAAGTCTTTTAAAAAATCAGGTATTAAATCAATTAATTAAATATTTTTAATTATAATATAATACAATTACCCCAATTTATTAAATTTCAAATCCAAATCATTTTCTCTCTCTAGTCTCTATCCTCTCCCTACCCCTTCTCTCCATCAGTTCCGGCGATCTCTCCGACTGCCACTCCGACAACAGTTCCGATGATCTCTTCGGCGGCCACTCTGGTGACAGTTCCGGCGGCCGTTCCAACTACTATTCCGACGCTCTCTCCGACGGCTATTCACGATCCCTCGGCAAACTACTCCAATGACCACTCCAACAAATGCTCCAATCAACCTACTCACCCTATCCACCCATTCCTAACTTCCAATTTTTTTTTTCAGAATTTCAAGTCACAATCGGTCATAATTGGTCACAAACGAGTCACAATTAAAGTCACAAACGGTCACAACAAACTATCCGATAGTCAAATCTCGATCTGATCATATAACAGAAAAGGTTCGCCGACGCCACCAACTCCGGTTGCAGCCTTCTTACTCTACACTAAACTACACCAAAATATTTCAAAAATCGTCACCATAACCACCACCACAACCCATACACCACAAGTTAACAGATTTTCACAACCACCAAGTATATTCGCACAACCACCACCCATTTCAGAACAAAAGCTAGTGCAGAATCAATTCCTTCACCATTTCACCCAAATCTAACATCCGCATCACCAACGACGTGCCGCCGGCGATGAGAAGTGGCGCGCGACTGACGATTGATGATTGTTTGCAGCAGCGAGCTAAAGTGGGGCGAGGCGACGACGATTGCTTGCAGCAGAGACGTCGACGGCGGACTGACGAGCAGCACAAGTACCTCCAACCCGACGAGAAGCTCCGTCGCATCGATAATTTTAAAGATGAAGGTGAGTGTGTGGTTGGTAGAGGAGGAGGGGGAGACATAATATGGGAATAGGGGTGAGGGTTTGATGGTGACTGGTGAGAAAAGACAAAAGAGAATGATTAGGAGAAGAAATTTGAATGGGGTGGGTGGGGGTGAATAGGTAAATTAGGTTTAATTAAATGAATTATTAAAAACTAATTAACACCTGATTTGTGAAAATGAAACTTTAAAAGTAGGTTTTTAGGTAATTTTCTCATATTTTAATGGTCTTGTTGGATTTGGAAAAGACTATTCGGCGTACTACATTATTATTTTAATTTAATATTGTATTGTACTTTAATTTATGTTTTAAGATCTTTACGTTGTTTTAGTGTTAATTTATTAAGTATCAAATTTATAATTTTTGATTATTTAATGCATAATTTTAATTTATTGTATCAATAATCATTTCTTATTAATTGATTAGAATTTAAAAATAAATGTTAAATAAGAATAATCATCACATTAAAACAATTATAAATTAATTAAAATTTATTAAGTTTAAAATATAAAAAAGGGATAGAGATGAAATAAAATATTTGTTGAAAAGAGCAAAGGAGGACAAAATGGGTATTACTGAAAATTCTCAAATTTGGTGTAAATGAATTGTTTTAGACCTCATACACCAAATTTTACACTATTTGTTCCCTCATTGGAGAGCATTTTACATCTACATCAAATTTGGTCTCTCATTGGATATAGTCTAATTAATCTATCCAACTGCCAAGCAAATAACTAAGACTTAGCAATTTACTTTAGGGTAATTAGCAAAAATGGTCCCCAACGTTTACATTCATTGCTAAAATGGTCTCTATCGTTTTAAATTTGATATTTGTACCCTTATTCCAAACGTTTATTGCGAAATTGGTCCTTCCATCCAATCCCGTTAAATCCACCGTTAGGAAATTCAGAATGTTTTGCCAATAATATTTGAAAAATGGTAAATTAGTCACTTCCCATATTTTTTCTCAGCTTAAAATTTTTGATAAATATAATTCTTATGGCTTGATGTAATTTATAAGTTTAGACCACAACTCAAAAGGTTGTCGACAAATACCATCCTTAACCCTTTAACTATTTAGCACAAATAATCATTGATGAACTATATAGTATACGTTCTCAATATTAATCTACTACAATAGATATAAAATATCATAGTAAAAGGAAAAAAAAACTGCTACACAATAGATAATTACATTGTTAACAAACCAAACGTGGTTTCAATATTTCTGATAAGCTAAACTGCCTGCTATGTATATTACATTGGGCTAGTAGACAAAAATTCATAAGATCTACAAAAAATGATTGCAACAGTCAAAAGTCAAAAAATATTTTGTGTATCCCCAAATCCTCGGGTTGCTCATTACTGATTATTTGCACTAAATGGTTAAAGGGTTAAAGATGGTATTTGCCGACAACGTTTTGAGTTGTGGTCTAAACTTATAAATTACATTAAACCATAAGAATTATATTCATAAAAAATTTTAAGAGGAGAAAAAATATGGGAAGCGACTAATTTGCCCTTTTTCAAATATTATTGGCAAAACATTCTAAATTTCCTAACGGCGGATTTAACGGAATTGGATGGAAGGACCAATTCCACAACAAACGTTTGGAATAAGGGTACAAATATCAAATTTAAAACGATAGGGACCATTTTAGCAATGAATATAAACGTTAGGGACCATTTCTGCTAATTACCCATTTACTTTACATTGTAGATAAATAGAAAACAGGAGTCAGAAGGTAGAATAAATGGGAAATGTATTGTTAGTCTGACCTTTTGATCGAGTTGTAAGTTGGTTTTCAACCTATGAAAAAGGAACAAATTGGTCCCTAACCTTTCAAAATAGGTGCACAACCATTCCCACGGCACGGGTGGTTTTGGTCCAATTTTTTATTGGGTTCTATCTTCAAAGGTCAACCTTATTGGGAAAAAAAAAAAAAAAATTCAAATCCTTAAATGTTTGTTTATTTATCCTTTAATATGTCTCCGCAAAATGGTTGTTTATTTGAGAACATCAATTTTGAAATTCTTGTGTTTGTTTAATTAGGTTCTATCTTCAAAGGTCAACCTTATTGGGAAAAAAAAAAAAAAATTCAAATCCTTAAATGTTTGTTTATTTATCCTTTAATATGTCTCCGCAAAATGGTTGTTTATTTGAGAACATCAATTTTGAAATTCTTGTGTTTGTTTAATTTTTAGTCGGATCAAATTACTTGTTGGATCTTAAAAATCTTCTATACTATATTAAAACTTGAAATTCCATGTTAAAAGTTAAACATGAAAAAGTCATAGTATCGAAGATCACGTTTCAGCTCCTCATATATCTAGAGATTTAAATCTCAATTTATTATTTGATAATTAGTTTATTCCATGGAGGTTATCACATCCATAAAATTTGATGACCTTCCACCAATGAAATTTAGTTCGAACTTTCTTATTACAAATTGAATCCTCAAAGATGTCTTGAATGCTTTTTCGAAATTGCTTGTGCTTCCTCTTTGTCAACCTCTTTTTTATGGATTTTATCCTTTAGTCACATCACGTGTAGCATGGATATTTAATGTCTAAATAGTTTGACATTTTCCATTTTTAGTCAAGTATACTATTTGTAGAGTATCAGAAGATTGGGGACACGAGTACCATTGTGCCACAAATACTTGTCTTTCCAGGACGTGTTCAACTTTCTCAAGTGTAGCAATCACGTCCCAAACATTTTATTTGTAAGACATGAGAAAAGAGCAAGCATACCACAAGATTAGAGGAGAAATCTCAAGAACTATTCTGAATTCAAATGTAAACAACTATATGAAATATCCACATTAAACAATTAAAATATAAAAAAGGGCTATCGAACAAACAGAGAGAGAAGTTCAGCACTTATCATAGTGAGAATGTTGCGAAGGTACCATAAAGCCTCAAACAAACAGGAAGAGAAGACTAAGAGAAGGAAGTAGAATAAATCTCTCTTAATGTTCAAATTGCAGAATCACAATATCTAAGGGAACAAACCTTTTCACAATTTCATACATGATGATATTGTTCTTCAGTCATTTCAATTGGAAAAAGAATTGAGTTTGAATGTCTGTTATCCTGACATTTGAACTAACCTCTTAAAGTTCAAGCTTTGAGTTACCAAACTGGCTAAATAAAATGGCCATGTCCATACCCTGTACCATTGTAGGCACAGCTGTATCATATGGGCAGGCATTGGAGAAACCAATCTTCCCAGATTTCTGTACTTTTTTTATGCACCTCTTGAACTTCTCATGGCATTTAATATTGGTTAAACCTGAAAATAAAAATAAAAATATATAAATCTGTGATTAAGCAATGATAGAAATCAAAGTACATAACTCAAACATGGTCATTTTTCAGGTGAAGAATACAAGAAAATGTCAAAGAAGAACTGACACGAGCAGAAAAACAATGATACAACATAACTCGATTTTAACCAAACAAAGAACTATCCAATATTTCTAGATTCAGTTACAGTCATGATTGCTTTGTAACAACCCAAAAGTATCAGACAAAAAATGTATTTCCTTATTTAAAATGATAATAAGAAAAGATGAAGAAAAAGTAGAAGATTTCTAACAACGAAAATATATGTCGAAAAGGTTGAGGTTCATCAGGAAAGACATTCAATAAAGAGACAAATAGAATGCATATAACAAGATTTCTACAATTTGTGTCTCTTAAACTACTAACTCTCTTTTTTATGAAATCTTGTAACCTCCGCTTTAAAGAACAATTAGAATACAATCATGCAGAAGATTTACTTCTGAAATTAAATCCAATATCCAACTGAAAATTAAAAACAAAAACTGATTATATAAAGACTAATAAAATCCAAAATTAAGGCAGCTAAATTGCTGCTTAAGGAGTCCTACAAGGGGAATAGTGGTCGCCAAAAAGAGAGCCCCAATGGCCAGGAAAGATACGAGGAAGAAGAGACAAATGAGGTATTTTCTTGGCTAGGAAGAAAGGGCTTGGGATGCTACCACAAATATCACCCTTTATCCACAACATTTCATGCATTTCTACCTCTCCACTCGCTAAAGAACTCTGCAAAAACTCAGCAACTTCAAGCACTTGGGCGAGAGGAAACCAGAAAAAATTAGAAAATGGAGCTATGAAAAGGAAAATATAAGGTATGATACTATCCAAACTTTCCTAAGCAACTTTTTCGAGTCAAAGCCTCTTTCGGGAGTTAGAATAGTAGAAGCTTCTTTTTCAAGGAAAAATGAAGGAACAAAAGGAAAAATCGTTTTTCAGAATGTTCTAAGCCTTCAATTAACATGGGTATCAATACCTGTTGTATAGGCATGGATACCTATCTCAGCAGATTGCCTAAGTATCGCTGCCCATGATACATAAAGGTTAAAAAGAGAGTTCTGTTGTAAATAACCCAAACAGGAAACAAACTTAGAAGTGACTAAGGAATGAAAATTGATGTTAAATATTGGTATTTCATAAGATGTACCTATAATGCAAAAACCAGACATTGAGTGCTTACTTGACAGTATGTGCTATGATAAGCGTTTGGAATACATACATTTATTAATTTACAGTTTTGCATAGAACATCAACATTAGAGTATTAGTTGAATACACTACTTCTAATGGTGTGAATCAAAAAAGGGGCTCAGGATAGACACATTTCGAGGAGACTTTTCATGGTCACTGAGGAAACCAAGTGTTTGGGATCCTGTTCACAAACGTACATAACATTACGAACTCCCTGCTAACTTTGGAATGGCTAAGAATGACATGGCTAACAATGCATACTCATGGCTGGCCATTTACCATGATATTTGTGTGTTGGGAAACTTGTGAGTCTGTGACAATCACAAAGGTGCTAAGAATGGGACGACAATTACATTGAACATTGTTGCTAATTTTATATATTGAGCTCTTCTAGTACACAGTAGAGAGGTTTGTGGGACCAGAAATTAAGATAACTTTGTGCACCATGATATTACTGGACGTATCTTCATTATCATGTTTTTGCATTGCAGGTAACAATTGCCGGGTATGATATATCACTGAGAGATTAGAAGTATGTGAGATGATCCATCTCAACTGCATTGGTAACTGTGGATGATTGATGGACTTGTCACAGGGGAAAGACATTTACACTGGACCTATAGCTACTTCTGTAATGATTTACGAAATATCTACTTCGGACTATCTGGTACACTGAACTTGGATGGACTAGGATATGTAGTGTCGACCCTTTTTCATGTACACCTTCATAGACAGCCTACTCCTGTTCCTCTTTAAATCATGGCTGTGAGTACCCCACACCCCACAAAAAAAATGAATATTAACATATCATATTGACACTATTTAAGCTTCTAGAATGATAGTTATTATAAAGATTACAATTTATTTATTCTTGATGTCCTTCTAGTTGTTTGGTTCTAGTTAACGAAACACTCGGAGAAGCTTTAGGAAATGCAACAGTTAGAAATGTGATGGATTTCTTACTCGTAGTAAACCAAGGAGTCAAAGACTCTTAAAATAACATAGAACAAGGTAACTAAAGAGTGTTTCAACATGTATGGTTTAATGTCAGGAATGAGAATGAGAAGAGAAGAGGACAATGTAGGCTGAGCTGAGCATTACTCAATGTGGGACGAGTACAACTTTTTTGGGCATAGTATAAACATTTTCGAACATCTTAATCACACATACTTTTAGTTAAGACTTGATCAACTCTCAAATACAAAATTGACTAAAAAACCATCAATAAACTCAATCAGGTTGATCAGTTAAACCATGATTCATATCTAATATTGAAACTCTTAGCCAGAAAACTATCAGGTAATGACAACTTAATAATTATGTTCTTATTGTAGGCAATTGAAACTGAGGTAAATCATTTTCTCTTTTGATGGTAACCCTTATCTAAATCAGACAAGCAGAACATTAATGATATCCCTCAATTGCACTACCACTAGCAATTTTAGAAACATTCAAATTGAGCATCAGAAAACACCCAGGCACAAAGCAAGGAAGACCGAATAGAAACCCAGTAAACGTACATGAGCACAATTTATACATTCTGAAAATATGGACTATCTTTTTTTAAACAAAGCAAATAGATGAAAATATTTTTTTCACCTTAAAAAAATTGATGGATAACCTACATCTGGAGCGCAATGTCAAGAAAACCATGTGTTAAAGACAATACCCAGTGAAATTCCTTAAAAACTTCTAACAATAGACAAAAATTTAAGCTTCTCTCTCATGTTTTGGCTACAATTGCAGGTGCATCCTTCATCTGAAAACATCCTTTTTATGTAGTATAATAACTCTTTTTCACACCCTTGCTTATTCGCATTTCGCCATTAATTCATTACAACTCTAAATGGATCATCCTTACCAAAGTTGGTCATGTAATCCCATAAAGCCATATTCTATGTCGAAGAACACTCGCAGCAATAAAATGCAGAACAAAGTGTAGTAATATTGACTATAGAGGCCATTAACCATATTCATTTGGAAATGGCAACTCATATGCTAGTATTCAAAGAGAAACCTAACTATGTGAAATATTGACTAATAAATTATATAACAAAATAACTTGTAGTGATAAAGGAAATACCATTTTTCTCAACACATTCGTCATGGATCTTGCAACAAGCATCCAATTCATCACAAGGTTTCTCTCCGGGACACCCGGTCCACCCAACTCCACAGAACTTCCCGTATCTAATCCCAACCGCTGCAACACATTTCAAATAACAAAAAATAAAAATAAACTCAAAAAGGAAATGGAATAGTGTTTTCACCAAGGCATCATTAACGGACTCACAGTTACAATTCTCCGCAACACAAGTTTTGCTGCATCGGACCTGTCATTCATGGCGAACGGCACACTGAAAACTAGTTCTCTGTAGAAAAAAATGAATGAAATAATAAATTTAAATGGGAGAAGAAACAATGCCTGAGAATTGTTAGATTCAGCGATGTCAATAAGGAACATGAAGAAGACGAATGCTGTAGCAACCCGTCTCCGGCGAGTAACGATGGCATTTCCCGGCAGCATTCTCTATGCCGATCCGTGAAATTACTGAAATGTCCTTCCAGACGCTTCGGAATTTTCAATTAGAATCTTAACCGGCCGGTTTTCGATCCTTAAATAATGCTATTCAAGACTATCGATGTCAAATACAAATTCAGGTAATAACATGAAATGATAGATACAATTAATTTGATTCATTTAATGGAACTTCCATCTAAATCACTAATGTTAGATAATATTATTCTATCTAAATTATTGTTATTTTCCCTTTTTTTTAAATTGTACGTGTGGAGTTGATAGTCAGATAGCAACGAGGATGGAATGAGTCGAGACTGGGACAGTCTAAATCACTAATGTCAGATAATATTATTTTAATCTAAATTATTGTTATTTTCCCATTTTTTTAATTGTACATGTGGAGTCGATAGTCAGATAGCAACGAAGAGGAATGAGTCGAGATTGGGACAGTCATTCCCATCATTCGTCTTGATTGAGTATTTTAGTCTCGCCTCTATCTGATCGAGTCAGGGCGTGACAGATTTCCTATCTTGTTTATCGTAGTAAATTTATTTTTTTATATTTTGCTTTTATTTTTCATGTCTTTAGTTGGTGAAAATTTTAACCTTTTTTTTTTTTTTAAAAAAATTTATAGAATGATCGATGTTATCTCAGGAGGGATGTGATTCTTTTCTTTTTGTGCGATTAAAAATTTATCTGGAAATTGACTTTAAATGGGATGAGGATCGTATTCCCCGTACTCGCCTCGTTCAATTAGACAGGGAATCCGGGTTGGGACTCTGTAGATGTAGAATTTAATGAAATTTTTTTGCCCTTCCTAATTGATTGACACGGTAAATACAATTAATTTTTAGTATATATCTAAATTTTGTAATCCAAGCGCCACATTCAGTAAATATTATTAAAAACTTTTTTTTTTCAAACTCATTTCTAACCGCACATTTATCTAGTTAGATAATTTTACATGCCCTACTTTTTAACCATATATTTTTAAAAGTAATCGCTGTTCAAAAAATCTACATTAAACAAAAATGCAAGCTTTTAAGTGCTTATAGACACTAGATTTTATAGAATGGCAGCCAACTTAAATTAAAATGTAAGTTTTTCGATTGACTGATTTTTAATTCTAATCACATATTTCATTAGACCTACAATTTTTACCAATTTTTCAATCACACATTTTATCTTTTATCAAGAGCTAGTGATGGCAGAAAAAAACCCACCCCAACGGGTTAGTTGGACAAGGCGGGGAGGCGGTGCCCCGTCCCGAAGCGTCCCGTGAAGAATAAAAAAAATAATTAACTACAAATTAAAAATAAAAAATAGTTAATTGGACGCTTTTGAAAAAAACAATATATAAACGGGGCAGGAAACAGGGCAAGCCCGCCCCCCGCCCCCCCAGCCCCCCCCCGCCCCAAAAAATAAAAAATAATTAATTGAAAGTTTTTGAAAAAAAAATAAAATAAAAGGACAGGAAACGAGGCAAGCCCGCTCCCCGAACCTGCCCTGCCCCGTCTAAGGTGGGGCGGGGTGGAATGGGGGAGTGGGGTGGGATGGGGATGCCCCGCCCCGAGCCCGCCCCGTTGCCATCTCTATCAAGAGCTACTAATTTTTTTTTTATCAAAAGCATTATCAAACAACCCCATTGTCTCCAAATAAGTTAAAAATTAATGTTGGGGCATTTTATGTGTAAGTCAGAATTAATTAAATAAATAAAAATATATAACATGATATTAGAATTTCGATAATTTTACCCTTAACTTCAAATTATGTGAAAATCAAATGGGTACTTTGAGAAAGATTTAAGGGTTTATATAGGTTGAGGACCAGGACCCATTGCGTAAAATTTGATAGCCAATGCCTAATTTACCCTAATAAAGTTAAGTGCACAAACATTGATTGACAATCATATGTTATCAAAATTCAAACATGTGAAGTAGAAAATAGTTTTTTAAAATAGATGAATATGATGATGTCAAGTAGGATGTTGTTAACCAACATTGTCAACAAACATTGTACACGTAGCATGATTCAATATTTGATGCAAATTGAAAAACAATTTGAATTGATAGTCATCGTCAATGCAATAGATACTGCAGGTAAAAACTTGCATTCATCACAAAGCAGCAAAATCCTCGGAACAGGAATCACAAAGATCATCTCCGAGCCACTCTACTAAAGATAAATTTAAATGTCGATATACTGATTATTGAGACAATCAAGTATTAATCACTGATTTTTCAACTTCAAAAACTGTCAAAAAAGGAAGATCAATGACCAATTGGCCAAACATTTTTCATTTTTACCAAAATGGTGGTTTCAAGGATAGTAACCAGTGAACGTAAATCCCCTTCCCACAATCTCGCCAGCACAAAACCATGCAAAGCACTCAAGGCCGAACAGTGCAGCAATGCCGGCATCCTCAACCTTCAGCTCCTGTCTGTGCTTCCAGGCATTCTTGACGTAATCGAGTTCCTTCCAGAATGACTCAGTACGACCAGGAATGCTGAAAATGACAAGTGAAGAAAACTAGTAAAGATTGTTTCATTTTGGGAAATTTCTGACAGGAACTTGCAAGATACGGACATGCAACTCGTGTACTAAAATATTTTCAAATATAATGTAGAACGCACCGACGCAAACACAGACATTTGTGTCCGACACGACACATGTCGAATATATTGGCACGCGATTTTTCAAAAAAAGTACTAATACGATACGTCATCGACACATTGATTAAATTCTTTAAAATTCTTTATTTATATAGTATAAATTTAGTTTTATACTTGTTAATTTTTCTTATTTAATATATTTTAACTATGAGTACATATTTGTTATTTACTAATAAATTTTAGTTAAAAATATATAATATTTTAAATAAGAAAAAAAAATGATTATGGAAGTGTCGGAGGAATGTCGGTATTCGACACGTGTCGGACACGGACACGCTACCCTAGTTGAAGTATCGTGCTGCAGCAGGAGCCATTGAGACAACAACTAATCATGTTCAGCAACTTGAGGAGACACTGAACCACTGCTAAAGTCTAAGCCACATTAAATTATCATGACAAAAGCCGTATTACACTTTGAAACACACCCAAGTTCATTGCACTTGTAACCCATACAGTGAGTTTCACTTCCATGTAATGTAGATGGCCTCTACCAGCCAATCTTCCCTGCTGCAAACATACGTGAAGACACCAGGGGGCATATTTTAGGTGGTGCCAGGCAAACAAAGGTTAAACCAAGAATATTATAGAATTCAGGCCATTTTGCCCCTTACAAATGAAGAAATTATAGATAAACTAAGATTAAATATATCTTTGCCGATAGTATTCAAATACAAACAAAATTGGAATTGAAATAGGGCAAAAGAAAGCCTCGCTATTACTTTATAATAACTTGCAGATATTTTATAATACATTAAGCCTCAATTTGGAAACATTTTATAAATCATTTATAAATTATCAAATTTCATTTTCAATCACACATTCTAATGGACCCACAAGCAATATTCACTTATCCACCTCTCATTTCTATCAATTTTATAAATTAAACTGTTTTTAAATTCTTCTCAAATGGAGTCTAAATTGTCATAATATGGCTGAGTGTATCTATCTGCATGCTCTAATCTTAAAACGTAAAAACATGCACATCAGCTTAAAGTGATGGATCAGGATCTTATTATTTTCCATTTTGCGTCAACTGAGAGAGGATTCAAATTCTCTGATTGATGATAAGAAATGTACTCCATCCTAAGAAAAACAATTCATGTATTTTTTATGAAAGAATAGCCTGTTTGGATGTCCAAAATATATAGCAGCTAACTGGAACCATGAGATAAGAATCAGTTTCAAATTGTGAATTTTGCGAAACATAGCAAATTTCCCTTTTCATTTGGTCAAATTGAAGATTCACAGAGAGATCAAATCAAATACCAGAGCATAGGCAAAATGATTTTTGCAGATAATGCCTCTTGTGCCAGTATTGCTAGACAGAAATTTACATTCAATGAGTATCTCATGCGTAGAAAAGGACATTCAGTGAAACAGGTAGGTAGCATTATGCTAAATAAGATACAATAATTTAAATTCAGTTTCCAAGCTTTAATTGCACACAAGAAAGAATATCATAACCAAAAGTATTCATTATGGATACGAACAAATTAACCTGGCAAGACGAGTGTAGAGCAGCTTCTTGGCCAATTCATTACATTTTTCCACAGTAGGTGGCTCCTGAATGTATTGTTTGTTCTGCTCCAACAACTGCTTGTAGTAGGTAGTTCCATGCTTGGCCACAAATTGTGAGGCCTGGACAGCCTTGGTTTGCAACTGCTGTAACTTGGCTGCCATCAACTCCTGAAGAAAATTTACACATCAAATATAAAGGGTATAAAATAATGAGAATGGTTATTCAAATAATTTTTAGCCAAGAGGAAAAAGTATTCATTATACAACTAGTCATTATGTAAACACTATGACAAGTCATAAATTATATGCATGGCAGGACTTGTAGCTAATTTCATAAAATTCATTTCAAATTCAAGTGTCCCCTTCTAAGAAACACGTATTTGAATTACAATGCAGAAATTATATGCATGGCAGGACTTGTAGCTGATTTCATATAATTCATTTCAAATTCAAGTGTCCACTTCTAAGAAACACGGATTCGGATATGTAATTCGAATACGATACGATGGGGTATGTCGATACAGCTTTTTTAAAAAAATTAGGATACATGTATATATGTAGAGTATTTTTCACAAAGTTAAGGCCATGTTTGGTCCACATTTTTTTTTTCATTCTCATTCTTCTATTCATTTTCAATCACACATTATTCAATAAAATAATATTTTCATCACATCAACAGTAAATTTGCATTCTTACCTTCAAAATGTGCACCAAACGGGGGCTATAATTAACTAAAATATATTTAGGGTGTGTTNTAAAAATGCATTCTTACCTTCAAAAGGTGTACCAAACGGGGGCTAAATCATAAAATTCAGC